TCATTTGTGCAATTCGCATTTGTGCATGTGTGTTTGTATCTATGCGTTTGTGTATGTAACGAAAACAGAAGTAAACCTGTTTTTTCCCCTCCCCTCTTCTCACCTGTTATTATCTTTTCCTTTTTTATTCCATTATTTCAATTATTTTTGTGGTATGACAATAATGAAAGACTTTATCAAAACCTTGATCATAAAATCCGAAAACTAGGGGAACTCAATTTTTTGCAACTGCGTTCATTTGTTTGCTTTCGGACTTGATGGGATAACAAAAAAGTACTAGAACTGGAGAACAGGTCTAATGAACATGAAATGAATACACTATGAACTTGTCTGAATACAACCCAACTGGTAACGACCACGCCAACAACCGCTGGATGTGACTCCTGCACGGTGCGTAAAGCTTCCGGACAGTGAGATACGGTTTCCACGCAAAGAGCGCTAGGTAAGTGCGAGCAAGCTACACTACGAACTAATAGCAAGTAAGAGTTGTTAAGTTTTATTGGCTGGCACAAATATGTGAAAATACACATCTCTTTCGATGGACATCATCGAGAAAGGGGCCGTTTATGACTACGGTATATGCTTGGTTTATAAATAACGTCTGAGTCATGCCTTGGTGTCTGTAATTTAACACCACGATTATTACTAATTACTACTACTACTACTACTACTAGTGGCGTTGATGCTGTTGCACTGTGAACTCGCTTAAGGGGGTACACAACATGCGTGTGTATCAGTTTTTTGGTGTTAAAGTCTCTCTATTTTTTGGTGACATACATTTCCGTATTTTCTTCAATCTCAATCGATTTATTCGCCGCGAGCGGTGTATGGGTCGTTGTTGATCCGTTTTTCTGTTTTTATGATGTTTTTAACAATTTTACAAAACAACAAAAAGATTTTATTTCATTCTCCTTTATACTTATTATTTCGTCACCATCAGAATTCCCCTCCTATGTAATCCTTATTCTGTTGTCCTTACCTCACTCAGTCGCCTCATACTTTCTGTCCCGGTCGAAAAGTCGCTCTTTTATTTCTTTCTCTTCTGGTACTGAGTAAAATTTAGGGCTTAGGTAAGATCTGAACTCACGCCGTTTATCTAGTTGTGGTGCTGTTCCACTACTGAGCTAGCAAACTGTTCTGCTTACCACTCTTTCGGCATTATGTCTATAGAACCCGTCAGCTTTTTTGTATTTCTTGCGACATTTCATGTGGAGATCGTTAAATAGCCTCAGTTGTAAAATGTGTCTGCCTTCTTTTGAGTTTCGTTGTTCACTCTCCGCTGAGCTGTTCGGAAGTGACGGTAAAAATGTTGCTCTATCAATTCCACCTCACCAACTTTTTACGGAGTGTTAAAGAAGAATGTAGTCGATTGAAAAATAAAAAATGAACGATTTTATTTTAGCTTGGTGACTGCTACCGATAAGTGAAGTACTTATTTTGTTGAAATGAATGTTGCTTTTCATGAAAAAACTTTGTTTTTATTTTTTGCCTTTTTCGACATTATCTTGAACCAATTTTTTAGACAGCAATAAAACAGAGTATTTAAATTAGAAGTGTCTATAAAACAACATGTTACATCAAATTTTCCACTTTTCTTCTCTCTGTCTACCTCAGATCTTTTTGTTTAAAAAAGTTAAATATTTTTTTTTTCTCTTCTTCTTTTAAATTCCTGATCATTTTGATTTTTTGAAAATTGCAATTTTACTCAAAATACTTTAGTTTTGGATCATTATATTATAAAATTTAAAAATTAATTTGAGTAAAAATGATTCAGTGAACAGATGAACGGAAGAAGTTTGGTAGATTATCGATGAAAGAAAGCCACTTAATATGTTTCAGTTGATGAACTTTTTCCTTCCCTTTTTTTCTCTAGAATTATCTTTTTCTACCCCGTATCCCTATCCCACCTCCTTCACTGTATAATTTTTCGGGCAGGAAGACCGAAAAATAGAATGTGGTTAATTTATGAAAATTTCCGGAGCAATTGATGCTGAGTTTTGGACGTCATAAACAACATTGTTAAATACCGGTGTTTTTTTTGCTCATTTATATGGACTGAACAACTCTTTTTTTTTTTTTTTTTTTT